CGTGCGTGCGAGAGTGTGCGTGAGTGTACGTGCGTGCGAGAGTGTGCGTGAGTGTACGTGCGTGCGAGAGTGTGCATGTGTGTACGTGCGTGCGAGAGTGTGCGTGTGTGTACGTGCGTGCGAGAGTGTGCGTGTGTGTACGTGCGTGCGAGAGTGCGCGTATGTGTAGGTGCGTGCGAGAGTGTGCGTGAGTGTACGAGCGTGCGAGAGTGCGTGTGTGTACGTGCGTGCAAAAGTGTGCGTGTGTAGCAGTATCAGTATATTTTTAGGTATTTCTCATCGATTCTTCATTAAAATATCTACGATTTCTTAAAGAAAATAAAAATCCGGGCCGCCTACCCGCGACAGCAGACGCGCAGATGTTCATGTGTTTCTTACGGCGACTACGGAAGGCGTCTTTGATATTTGCTCACGCTGTTACGACATTTACTGAACATTTCTATTTTAAATCTATTATCGGGAATGACCGTCGGCGTCTCCGTCGCTGTGCCGGCGGGATACAGAGACTGCGTGATGCGCCGGTGGGGAAATGTGTGCGTGCGTGCGTGCGTGCGTGTGCGCGCGTTGACGCGCTGTTGTTAATATCGTTGGATAGCTTTGACGTTGGCGTTTCACTCTACATGCAACATGTTCTGTTTGCCTCTATGACAAATACGACATACGCATATACGCTCTCCTATGACACTATTTGTCATGACAAATACTGGCGAGTCGACTTCGTTCCGCTTTACAGCTCAAGTTCATTGCTTGCGTTCATAATAGCGCTCCTAACTCCTATATGATGCGCACAACAAATACAACAATATTTGTCATAGGAAGAATCTTCCTATGACAAATAGTGTCATAGGAGAGCGTATGTCGTATTTGTCATAGATACTAGCAGAACAGGCTGAATGATGGATCACAGAGTTCGCATGCGGACCCGCGTATCGCGCCGTAACATCTCCTGCAAATGTCGGCGTCAAATTAAATTAATTAAAACGTCAGGCGAAGATGCGATATGAATAGCGAGCGCTCCCGTGCGACTGTGGGCGGGTAAGGAGATCTAACCCCCACGCGCGCACCCCGCAGGTGATGCACGACCGCGTTCTGACTGGCACGCGTATCGCAGGCCGGGGTAGACACAATTCCTATTTAATGTCCACATTAATTCGTATTTCGCTTCCGTCCTAAAATCCGTCTTAGCCAATGAGAGCCGTGGATTTTAGGACGGAAGCGATGGAATTCTCACTTCCGTCCGAAAGTCCTTATCCGTGATTGGTCGATTTTATGTGGACATAAATTCGTGATTTAATATGGACATTAAATAGGGAGTGCAAAAACTGTATTGCGCTCCCTTTGGTATCTGATGCAAACTACGGACCCTCCTAGCAACACGCACATAAGCAATAAACACAAATCACGGACCCCTGAAGCCATCCACCGACCCTTTGTGGAGCGCTGGTTAGGAACCCCTGCTTTAGAGCGTTTGCATCCACAGGCCATGAAGCCACCGCATTACCCACAGAAGCGTGGCGACTTTCCGCCGATACGTCAAGTACAGACGGTTTTAACGGTGGTAACAGCGCCAAGCTGCTGCATGCAGTGATCAGGCAGTAGGCTGGCTGCAGGTGCGCGCACGAGTGCTAGCGTGCATGTGCATGTAACGGAGTGATCCCGCGGCGAGCGTGTTAAGCTCAGCTGCTTCCACGTACTCCGCTAATTGGCCGGCTGGCTGTCAGGCCGAGATGGCGAGATGGGGGAGAAAATAAAGAACTAACTATCTGTCTATCTATATACTCGCGCTGTTTTCGCTAGCAAACGTTAGTGGCTAACGAAGAAGTCCGACGAGCGTTGCTGAGTCTGTTGATGCGGCGAGCATCGGGGGAGATTTAGAGAAGAACGATAGGGGATGAGAGAAGGGAGAGAGATGGGGCGCGCGAGCGGGAGGGAAAAATAGAAAGAGAGAGAGGGGTGGGGAGAGGAGAGAGAGAAAGAGAGAGGAGAGTGTGCTGTGTGTGTGTGTGTGTGTTTGAAGGAAGAGAATGGGAATAAGAGCGCGCGCGACCGAGAAACGAGAAAAAGACAGAGCGCGTGCAGAGAGAGAGAGAGAGAGAGAGAGAGAGAGAGAGAGAGAGGAGAGAGAGAGAGGTTGAGGGTTGAGAGAGAGTGAGAGAGAGAGAGAGAGAGAGAGAGAGAGAGAGAGAAGCCGAGATCGCAGTAA